AACCCAATTTAATACACTAAGAAGAATCTCCTTGATGTTCGTGTTGAGTTTTTCGAAGGCTACCATGGATCTTTGGAAAGATCAGGTTTTTCAAATATGGGTTAAAGCCATAGATTTGCAATTGACATGGCTTACTAACTCTTCAATATTTTCAATGAGCAAGGCAACTGGATTAGCCAGCTAGCAAGCGGAAACTCTTCGCGTCCCACAAAACATAAACACCGATTTGTGAACAAAAAGGATTGACACGTTGTGATGGAATTTCAAAATCAGGTATCGTGTTTGTAACTTTGTACTGGCCGTCGACCAACATGGACGGGAAAGATGAAAACATGTATGTTTCACAGGTTGTTGTAATTGGGTTTTCTAATATTAGAACATTCGGTTTAATCCATGATGGTAGAGAAGTCAATCAAAGATTTTTTTGGCGTCAGATGGCTTTGATGTCATCTTAAGCCAGTTAGTGGATATGATTTTCATTTGCTTCCAGAGATTCTTTTTATTGTTGTTATATTGTTTAGACCTTCAACCAGTCGATCTACAGCCTTCCATTTTCGTGATGGTTGGTGAAGCGGTTATGCGATTTTTCCGATTTCATCCACTCGAATTCGAAAGACCATATATAGATCGAGATCAAAACAATTGTTGCTTTCTCTCAAACGAAGCTCAGTTGAGTATATCTCGATGTTATGAATGATGGTTTCAAAACCTCATCAAGCATATGCAAGTAAGCAAATGCCTTTATTTTTAGAAGTTTACCATGCATCAAGAGAGGGCATATAGACCCTTTGGGTGAGATTGGCGGACACCGTCAAAATTTTTTTCGTTCTTGGAGAAAAACATGTATGTGATTAAAAAAAGCATATATGGCAGAAAATTAAGATTAAAATATATATCGATTTAGAATTAGGCCCAATTTGGTTAATAACCAAGAAATACAATTAAAACACTACAACTAACCAAAAACCTTAAAATTAGTGGTTATTATTAATGCCACATATGGAGATTTTCTTAGTTATTATGTTTTCATTTTTTTCTTAGTTATACTTGCCAATTTCCCTTAGAATTATTTGGTTAGAATTTGTTTTAAAAGTGTAAGCATTGTAATTTGTTATTCATATGTTTATCTTGTGCATTTTTCTTTTGGGGCTTAAAATTTCAAAAATATACTATTTATTTTCGCCGGTTTTAAATCCGTAAAATGTATTTTTCAAGGGTATTAAAATAAATTTGCAAATGACAAAAAGATAAAGGGATACATAAATTTGCAAATGACAAAAAGATAAATACATGAAGCTTTGAATTGCGATCTTAATCTAAAAGAACCCCCCGTTTGAAACTTTTTTCTAAAAGACCCTAACTAAATGATCCATTTGTTTTGGTTTTTTTTTTTTAATTCAAAACGCGGTTAAAGACYAAGCTACCCTTAATGAATCAGTTATATTACACGACCCAACCCACCCGAACGGATACATACCCGACCCGGATC